AGGTTATTCAAAAATCTATGTATAAATAGTATTGACGCTAGTAGCATCACTTAATATGGATTGGGATTTGAGTAGTAGCAGGTAACTGGTGTATGACATCAGCGGCAGAGAAAATGGTTGTAAGCGGACGTTCTCTTTAGGTTACATCCAGTTCTTTCCCAAGGGCTTTCTGTGCAACATGTTCATGGGAGGCCACACCTTGCAGTGCAAGTCAGTAAACATAATACCACAGAATTCATGTCAAAGTATAAGAAATAATAATAGTAAATGTAAACAGAATATATATTTTTGTTAGATACATTTATAAAGTATAGTTGAAATCTTTAATCCATTTCAGTCCCTGCACTGTGGTAGCAGAAGGTTTATATTCTAATCCAATCCAATCATTATACCCAACGCTCTCTAGCAAATCAAAGACGTATTGGTAATTAATTTCTCCTGCAGTATCCGGCTCATTACGATTGGGCACTTGTGCAATTTGAACGTGGCCAACATGCTGGATCACATCCTTAATAGTGTGCGTGATATCACCTTGAATTTGTTGCAAATGGAAAATATCCAACATCAATTTTAAATTTGGGCTGTTGACCTTTTTTATCAATGACAACGCTAAAATTGGCGATTTAGAAATTTGTTGCATTATTCTGTGATTCACCTTTTTCGTACGAATCCATGTAATAATTTGGTAATGAATACTTATTTATGGGTTCTATCAGTCCAATTATATTTTCCTTCTCCAGCATCTTGGACGCATACCATAAATTATTTTCACACCTCTCGTCATTAAATGCTGTTGGTTGTTCGACTTTACCCGACATTATATGAATTCTAAAATGACACGAATTATCTAAATGAAGAACAGAAACTGAGTCATACTTCTTAGCTCCTAAACTCTTCGCATAGTCAATTGTTAGTTTCAGACTATCGTCGAACTGCCAGCCTTGTCCTACAACGGCCGCATATCCAAATTCGCCTTTAGTTGTATCTAAAAAACTTCAAAACTTAACAAACTACCACTTAAATACTGGTGGACTATCTACTCGAGCAGAATAAACAAGTGGGCAAGTCACCACACTTTGGCATAGTAACACCAATATTTAATATCGCTATAGTTCACGAATTTAATAATAATAATAATATTTATTTATTTGCAAAATGTACATAATAAATTTTGATTATAGTTGCAAAGCCCATTTAAATATAACGACGGATCAACTGAGATCAGAAGTATCTGCAGTTACAATTTCTTTCAAATTAGCACACAAAATTCGCGTCGCGTCGACACCACACCATCTAGTGAATACAAAAAACACACTGCTTCCTGCGTCTGAGTGTTGAGAGTTCTCAGACAGACGAAGTGCAATTCACTCTCTTGAAAAATAAACTAATAATAAAAAAACTGGAAACTAACTTACCTGTATAGGTGTTAATGAGAATTTGCTCAACATTGGCCTTAGTCTTATGGTTAACCAAATCGTCCTTTGATATACCAAGCGGGAAGGCGCTCTCCACGGCCTTAAATCCGGCATCGCGCGCTAACTGGTATCGTTCCTCGAACGGTTTTTCGGTGAACATAAAAGATAGATTTGCGCAAAACTTTGGCATGTTGTGGTACCTTGAAATGATACTTGTCAATGGAATTTTACTCATTAGTAGTCTGCTGTATTGCATGATTAGATAACAACAGTCCTTGATTACCTAAAAAATATATTTCTTTAATATTTGTGCATGTTGATTATTATATCGTTAATAAATAAACACACATACGGCAGTTTCTATTACTCAATATAAAGGTATGATCTTGTATAATCCAGTTAGATTCATATTTGCTGATGATAAAACAAATTATTGTTCGTAATATTGTCAGGAAAAAGTAATTTATAATGTTAGTGTCTGGCCAACAAAATAACAGTTACAGTTGCAATGCAACGTCATCTATATATTGCCCGACATTATTTAAACTATCAAACTGTCATCAGTCGATTGCAAGTTTGTATGTCTGGTGGACAAACTGCTCTATGAAATCAGCATGTGTTAAACGTGGGCTACACCGGCTCCACGTACAGTCCAGACGCTAGAGAAGCGTTTGGACGCAACCTCGCTTTCCAGGTGTGACGTAAAGTTTATTTCGAATGCTTACACGGATAAGATTTCACAGTTACAAACGAGCAAGAAAAGAAAAGAAGATTTGCTTTCTGAGTTTCTGCACCATCTTAAGTGACTGGTTTGTTATGGACATTGGTATGGAGTAGGTCTTTTCCGAATTGTGGGTAAAATGATAATGATCACACAGTGACTGTTAACTCCAGAACGCTATGTGTCTATGTTCAAAAGCTTCATTGAACCCCAATAACAACAGTTCAGCATTGACCTTTTTCTTCCAGATAAAATTTAACAATGGGCTCCGCGCCACCCTGTATAAAATATAGTTTTTATTAAATGGGAAATTTACACTACGGCGACGAGTAGGTCAAATGTTTCATAATCCACTAAAATCTATGGTAGGCATGATGGCGATATGTTTTGATATTTGAAATTCGGACATTTATTGAATAGGTCTTTAATGTAGGTAGTTTAGTAGTTATGGTACACGTCAAAAGTAATTACATACCTTTTTTATCAAATACACAACACTATACTGAATATATAATCTGTTTGTCAAGACCGGCTCACTATCTGATGTTGACCTTGTTGATGTGCCGTGGTGACGTCACATATGCGGGAAATTTAAATATCCGGTTTATTTACGTTTTTGACCCGTAGTAAAGTTTCATTTTAAATGGCACAAAAAAAAACTAAAATCAATAAACTTCATGAAACTGAACTATATTGCATCAGTTCAGTATAATAGTGTTAATTACACTATTGTGTATATGATTTCGTACAATATTCTCTCTCAGAATCGACAAAATACTGAATCATAGTTCTTACCAAAGATAATTATCTTTGTTCTTGCAAAGAACCGCCATAGCAGTTTTTAAATTTACATTATACATCCCAGTACGCTCAGAGTAAGAAATAAAGATTCTACTCTGAGCCAGTAGGTGACCTTTCGATGCTGGTAGACCAATTGTGACCTTAGGAATTAATTTCGTAGTTCAAATGCCCCAAACGTTTACTTTGGAGGTTATGTTGTTGTTAAGGAATTTTTGTACAAAATATAAAGGCGGTCAGTTTTTCGACTGTATAATTATTAAACTGCTATCTTAAAACAGATTATTGGTTTGCTAATTTACTTTCTGTGCAAATGACAATCTAAAATTGCTGTAGCGCAATAAAAAGGGCGTGATCGATTCGTCATTCGCCTGAAATTAAGATGTTTTAAACGCACGTAACCTCCACAAGCTACTGTTATTCAAATGACTTAACGATTTAATAAATTCAACGATTATATAAAATGGGCAAGTGCGCTGAAATGTGAATAATTTCTAAAATGAGCTTATTAATCCTGTTTGTGATACTGGGGGCTGCTAGTGGTTTAACAAACAACACGTTTATTGGTTGTTATATCACCCATATAAGTACTAGCTTGGATTTTTTAAAAAATTTCAGTACCATTGACTGTATCTCTAATTGCGAGCGGCAATTTTATAGGTAAGCACACATTTAAATATCGTAGATGCTATATGTGTGCCTTTAGGTACGCAATTATTCAAAATGAGAAGAACTGCATGTGCAACAACTTCCTCGGGTCGATTTATAGCACAGCACATTGTAAAGAAACTTGCGAGAATTGCTCGTCGAAAGATGTATTGGGCGATGTGTACAACACTGAAGTTATAGGTAATTCATGTATACAAATTTGAGTAAGGATCTTACACGTTTGTTCTAAAGATTTGCTTTGGGAGTTATGGGCGGCAGTATTTTAAATTCTCTAATGCATAGGGCCAGTTCAACAAACATATTTGATTCGGATTAAGAAACATGCCTTTGACACTGTCCAATCAGGATGTACACACATCCACTGTGGAGCCAATCAAATGCCTAATACTCTGATAAAAAATAATGTGTTAACAGGATACCCATTATTTGTTTTATATGGGGGCGTAATTTACTCCTGAATATTTATGTTATTTAAATATTGTTATGGGATGGCTCTCGAAATCCCAAAACATGACTCTAGTGAGACAGATCATCTCTTAGCCAAAATTGCAGGCACCTGAGCTCTAATCTAATCAAATTCTAACCATAATATGTATCTTTTCATCCGTGAGAACTTGGTGTGAAGATCGAGCTCCATTGCCTTTGACTGTATATGTATTTAATTATGTTTCTCTTTAACCACTTCGAGTGATGTTTTTAGTGCCTGGGCCACCACAAGATTTGGAAGTGTCAAATGTGACGGATACGACCGCATTTATATCGTGGAAACCGCCAAAGTCATTTGTCGACATCGATTACTACGAGATAAAGGCGAACGTTCTGCATACCTTCGCCGGTTATGACGTAACGAGCCCAGTATACAGATTCTCGAATAATACATTTGAAACCGAACGCAATTTTCAACCTGGCACCAAGTATAACTTAACGCTACGGGCTGCTTCAAAATTTGGCAAGAGCGCTGTCGCCTTCCGAATTTTGGAAACCGCGATCGGATGTAAGAATTGCGCATTTTGCGCTTAAATCCTTTTATTTTGTGACGTTTTTTCACAGTTCCTGATAATATTCCGTCCACACCAAACGTACTGAAGCGTCATGGTAAAATCATGATCATACAGTTGTCTCCTGTCGTGAACAATAATGGACCAGTTTCTGCATATCGCATTGTTGTCGTAAATGAAAACATGAATCCAATTTTGCAAGTGGATAACTTCAAATCATACAAAGACGCTATGGCTGAAGAGGCTAATTATTATATCGCCGCAGAAATTGAACCTCAAGTAAATAGAAAAGATTAGTTAATCCCTTTATTGTCTGTTTATTTTAGGATATACTTAAAAATTTTACAGTGGGAGATGGAAAAACCTATGGTTCCTATTATAATGCACCTCTACAACCGAACACAATTTACAGAGTTTTATTAGGAGTCGTCAGTCGTTATCTCAATGTCACGAGAGTCGTTTATAGCAACACAACTGATCCATCCAATACTTTTGTTACCGTCAGTATTATGCCTGCTCCAGAAAGCGATGACGAATCTCCGGCGCTTATTATTGGACTTTCCGTCGCTATTGGCTTGTTGAGTTTTTTGCTAATCTTAGGTATTGTCGGCTTTTTCTTATTGACAAGGCGGATATCCAATCGAAGGAGACGTTTGACTGATGTACAGGAACTCTCCATTCAGGGACCTATTATCGAAGTGGTATGTGCAAACTTTTTCACTCGTATGAAGGTAGCAATGACAGCAATAAAAATCTAAAAATATACGTATAAACTTGGGAAACTTACCGTATAGCAATTGGATCAAAACTTGTGCTGGATATTAAATCTACAAATAGTGCTCTTTAAATAACGCCAGCCATGTTCATTTTTTAGAAAGCAATTTTTCAATTTAAAGGTTTGTCCTAGGTAAATGTAATGGAGACGAGTAGTATTTATGACCTGTGTGAAGTTGGTAGCCAGTTTTCGTGCGTAAGCAGCCAGTTTACCGAAATACCAAATGTGTTTGTATAGGGTGAAGGTAACAAAATCCCATGATCACAATCGGTTTTGAATTAAGGGTAGGATAATGTAACTAACGGCAAAAAAGACTACTAAGCTCAATTTACATTATACTTTTTTCGTCTAGAAGCTTTGACTAGAACTTGTACTAGATCCGACACAATACTAGAAATTTAAATTTGCCGCATTTTGGTTTTTTTTTGTTTCAATGGCAGTGCGGCCAATTTCGGAAAACAAATCTCAATATCGTACATTTAAATTGCTTGGAAACAAACATGAATAACAAGCAAAAGAAACTCATTTTTGCTATGTACATGTACCTAATTCAAGAGACTTATATTTGAGGTTATGTTCAAGAGTATAAAAATACAGGTGTTGGCAGCACGGAATTTGTTCTAATTTGGTGCTAGTGCGCAAGTCACAAGTATGAAATTTGGATGGAAAATGGGTCTGGACCGAGTTTGAAATCTAGTTTCTAGATTAGAATCTTTGAAGGAATTTTCTGATTCACATTGTCAAAATTTTAACAAGTTCGTCTAGTACAAGTTCTAGTCAAAGTTTCTAGACGAAAAAAGTATAATGTAAATTGAGCTTTATTCAGAAACAAAAATAAGTCATGAAACCGTCACCCTCTAGTATACCAAGTAAGAAGTGCAATTGTCTGAAGATGCTGTAAGTAAATATGATAATGTTTCATAGCATGTTTCACTAGTGTGACAGATGCATCTCAGTTGAGTTGTACCTTGGGACAATTCTCAATGAAACCTATCACTTTCTCTTTATGAGTATCTAAATCGAGTTCCAACCGCCATTCTGATGATATTCGCATTTGAAGTTGCGGCTCCTTCAACAAATGCGTTTTGTGAAGACTTTCATCTTTCTCTTTGCGAGTACCCACTTCCGACACTGTTCTCTAAAATGCATATCTTTTTTACTAGTGATCCGACCAGCCCACAGTACCTTTAGATACATCTCAAGACGATTTATCGCTTCCCATTTGTGGACTACCAGCTTCTGACACTCCATTCTCAAGATATTTGCATTTGGGAGCCTGATCTTATTAGGAGGTCTGGGGGGTATGGATGATCTCCCAGGAAATGAAAGGCTCAGTGTTCCTTTTCCTGCAAATATCAAAATTTTCGTACACTAGAGGAAGTGGCTAGGTGGTATTCCATACCCCCCAGAGCCCCCTGGTGTACATTCCCTCTCAAAACGTTCAGCCCTGATAGTTTTTCATAAAGGTGCATCGAATCTTCCTTTCCTAAGGAGAATCCCTATCCCACGGACTTCTGGTGTTACAATCGATGGTCCTTTTCTGAAAACTATGATATGAAGGGTCAATAGCAGAAAATATTTCGGGAGAAAATGTGTAACCCGGTGGGTGGGGTGGGGGTAGCGCCCCAGGAAAAGAAAGATGTTCCTTTTCCTGCAATCACCATACTTCACCATTGCTCCATTTAAAAAATCTGCTTTGGTACCAAATTTTCTTTTTGACGGCCCTGTATATTTTCTCTTTAATGCAAAAAATGCGCAAGAAAAAATTATGATAGACGTATACGAACATTTTTAAATGAATTTGTTCCATATTTTAACCGCTCACTGTATAAGTATACAAGGTGAGTCTCTAACTGGGAATAAATTCAGTAAATTAAAGAAAGTTTTTTTTTGGAAACATGTTTTGGTACGTCGATTAGTATTTTAAACTGCACTCTCTGATGTAATAAAGTTATATACAGGGTGTCCCAAGTTTGAGATGACGTCATCGACTTTTTTTTAATGATAACCCTAATTTTTTTATGAACACTCTTAAAGCGTATATCAAGTTACTCATGTGTGCTAAATTTGAGATTTTTATTTCTTGTCTAATTTTTCGACAAACAGTGAACAACAGTCCCTTGCTCATATGCAGTGAATGCAATGCTACACTTCTTACTTACTAGTCGATGACGTCATATCTCAAATTTGGAACACCCTGTACAAAATTGTATTACATCAAATAGAACGCAGCTTAAAATACTAATACTAAACGTATCTGAGCATATTTCCAAAAAAAACCTTCTTTGATACTTATTGAACTCTGTGAAGCAAATTTTGTAC